CCGTCCACCAGAGGTTAGGCCTAGCCCGCCTGGGGTTAGGGTTAGGGATAGGCCTGGGGTTAGGGTTAGGCCTGGGGTTAGAGATAGGGTTAGGCCTGGGGTTAGAGATAGACTGCTGAGGGTCGCCGAGGGGCTCAGCGAGGACACGCTGCTGCCCCCGCCCACCAAAGGTTAGGCCTAGCCCGCCTAGGCCCGGGGTTAGGGGTTATGGTTAGAGTTAGATTTAGGGTAAGGCCTGGGGTTATGGTTAGGGTTAGACCTGGGGTTAGAGATAGACTGCTGAGGGTCGCCGAGGGGCTCAGCGAGGACACGCTGCTGCCCCAGTCCACCAGAGGTTAGGCCTAGCCCGCCTAGGCCCGGGTTAGGGATTGGTTAGGCCTGGGGTTAGGGTTAGGCCTGGTGTTAGAGATAAGGTTAGGCCTGGGGTAAGGGTTAGGCCTGGGGTTAGGGTTAGGCCTGGGGTTAGGGATAATAGGGTTAGGCCTGTGGTTAGGGGTAGAGTTAGACCTGGGGTGAGGGTTAGGCCTGGGGTTAGAGTTAGGCCTGGGGTCAGAGTTAGGCCTGGGGTTAGAGTTAGGGTTAGGCCTGGGGTCAGAGTTAGGGTTAGGTCTAGGGTTAAAGGGTTAGGGTTAAAGGGTTAGGGTTAGGCCTGGGGTTAGGGTTATGGTTAGGCCTGGGGTTAGGGTTAAAGATAGGGTTAGGGTTAGGCCTAGGGTTAGGGCTTTAGTAATGGTTAGACCTGGGGTCAGAGTTAGGGTTAGGCCTGGGGTTAGGGTTAGGCCTAGATTGGGTTAGGTCTGGGGCTAGGGTTAGTCCTAGGCCTAGGCCCACCGGGTCCCCGTTCCCCTGATCTTCTCTCTCTCTCTGCAGGTCCCGGCGTTCCCCGGAGTTAGAGATAGGGTTAGGCCTGGGGTTAGGGATAGGACTAAGGTTAGGGTTAGGCCTGGGGTTAGGCCTAGATTGGGTTAGGGCTAGGCCCACCTGGTCCCCGTTGTCTGATCTTCTCTCTCTCTGCAGGTCCCGGCGTTCCCGGGAGTTAGAGATAGGGTTAGGCCTGGGGTTAGGGATAGGACTAAGGTTAGAGTTAGGCCTGGGGTTAGGCCTAGATTGGGTTAGGCCTAGACCCACCTGGTCCCCGTTCCCCTGATCTTCTCCCTCTCTCTGCAGGTCCCGGCGTTCCCGGCGTTCCGGTCGCCTCTGAGTTTCAGCCCCACGGCGTTCTGAGCTTCAGCGCGCCGCTCATCGCCGAGCAGCTCACCAAGATAGAAACCGTGAGTCCACACAGAAAACGCTCACTTTTTAAAAACTATTTTCAGAAAGAACACCCGCCCACATCCTCATGTTTAAGCACAGAGAGTAAATTCAAATTACAGACTAAGGGACAAGAAAAGAAAGGGAAAAGAAACGAAAGAACAAAATTTTAACAACCTAAAAAAATAAATAAAGGGGAAATTTATTTATTTTTTAAATCTAAAGGGGATAAAAATAAATAAATAAATGAACAACTCAGACTTGTCTCTATTTTGGTTTAATGTCCAGAATGTCTATAATGGAAAGCAGGGGTCCCAAGTCTTCCTCCCTCTCTTCCTCCCTCCTCCTCCATCCTCCTCCCTCTTCCTCTTCCTCTTCCTCCCTCTTCCTCCCTCTTCCTCCCTCCTCTTCCTCCCTCCTCTTCCCCCCTCCTCCTCCCTCTGGGGGTTGGCCCAATCCGATATCTGGATCTGATCAGCCGGCAGGAGAAAATCCAGATCCAGACTCCAGATCCAGTTTTTCTTTTTTAAAGTTCGATCCCACACGAGCATTAGCATTAGCATTAGCATCCCCTAACCCACAGGTCTCTGTCCTAACCATTAACTCATTGACTGCCAGCCATTTTCAGAACAGAGAATCCCATACTGCCAGAGTTTTTTGAGCATTTTGACTGATTTTTCAAGAGTTAAGTTGTTGTAAGAGTGAATTAGGGATGTCCCGATCCCACCCTGATCCCGGCCTATCAGAGCCTGTATTAAAGTTATTTATCTACTTACTTAGTTGTCAGACTCATGCTGAACAGGGATTTACTCTGATAACAACTTATTGGTTAGGACACAGACCTGTGGGTTAGAGATGCTAATGCTAATGCTCGTGTGGGATCGGCCGATCCGATCCAAATATCGGATCGGTATAAGGCTAATTGGCATCTGTAACCCACAGGTCTGTGTCCTAACCATTAAGTTGTTATCAGAGTAAATCCCTGTTCAGCATGAGTCTGACAACTGTGTAAGTAGATAAATAACTTTAAACTTTAACACATGCTCCGATAGGCCGGGATCGGACCGGAAGTGTGAAAAGATGGATTAAAATAATCCATTCCACTTTGCTGTGTTGTTCCCTAATGTCCGGTCATTTTCCAGCACACCCTTAAGCATTAGCATTAGCATCAGCATCTCCTGACCCACAGGTCTAACCATTAAGTTATCAGAGTAAATCCCTGTTCAACATGAGTCTGACGACTAAGTAAGTAGAATAAATAACTTTAAACTTTAATTTCGGCCTCAGCACAGCTCAACAGACATAAAAAATCAGAGCTCAGGACACAAAAACCTACAAATAAAGCCGGAAATAGAACTCTAGTTCTGGATTCAGACCTAAAAGTCAACATCAGCCTAATGCCACCTTAAAAACAGAGCAGGAAGTAAAGAATTTCTATATATATTCTATATTTCTATATATATTCTATCCATTTCTATATATATATTCTATCTATTTCTATGTATATATTTCTATATAAGAGAGAAGTGCTGTGGAAAAATAGCCTTTATAGTCTTTAGTGGTTTATGAGGCTAAACCATAGTGGTTTATGAGGCTCTAAATAGTCTGGGGGCTAAACTGGTCTTGTTTACTTTTTAGACTGAAGCTTTCACAGGATCTGGAACAGGTTAACTTCAGTTTATCTGGGACAGACTTCCAGGACAGCTGAGGCCACTGACACGCTTTGATATCTGGGCTGAAAACTCTCCTGTTTCGGGGGCTTTATTTGTGGCTTCATGTTTGACTTTTAAATGCTTTTTCCGTCACGTTTTCCTGCCACTCAAACGTAATTTTCCTTCTCCTTTCTCCTCTTATGTCTGTGTTTTTGCATGTTCTCATAAGTTTTCTCACTAATTTTCCAACATCCGAAGTAAAATTTGATCAAATATTCAACTTGACACAGTCAATTTCCAACATATGATGTGGAAATCGTAGAAAAAAATATATAAAATACACAAATTAAATAAAAATAAATTAGCTAAGTTAGTTTAAAGTTCACTTAGTGAAAGTCAGTGCCAATAAAACCCCCTTTTTATTGATTATTTTTTCATAATTTATTTCTTTTTACATCTCTCTTATATAAGTCACTTGTTTTATTGCTATGTGTAATTATCTGCAGTATTTATTAAGGAGATATTGTAGGTTTTTGGAACCAGATAAAGGAAACACAGTATATTCTATACAGTGGGAATGTTGGAAGTTCACACAGACACATATCCTTACGAGTCACTTTTTAAAAAAGAAAACAAAGAGAAAGTGTAGTAAATGGCTAGCTGTTGTTTTGTTGCTAGCGACTGTTAGCTGCAAAAAGAGAAAAATACTTACCTGGGTAGCCGGAGATGCTAACAAAATGGCGGACAAGTGTTGAAGGAGGGTGGAGAGTGTACCGTAACCCTAACCCTAAACCTAACCCTTAACCCTAACCCTAACCCTGACCCTCCACCCTTCATAATTGTGAGAAATAAATATTTTTTGGTTAAACTAGTTTGGACTTATTGTACAAACTTATTTAACATTTTTATTTTAATACAATATTACATATAGAGTTTAATTCAGTGTTTGCAAGATTAATTTCAAAATTTTTAAATTAACTCATCGACTGCCAAAGACGTCTATAGACGTCTTTTATGTTGTTCAACGAGAGTGGCTGGGGGACGATCTGCTAAAGCTTGTCCGTAAATATCGGCTTCTAGAC